GAATTAATGGCACGAAGGGAAAGCTGGAGATGATCACAGTGCAGAGAGAAGTGAAAAAAGAGATTAATTAGAAAGAAGAAGAAGTGAGGCAAAGATGATTCAAAATAAGGTATCCCTGCCATAGACAATCCTTCCAAGAAGAATTCAGAGAAAATGCAAACCTGCAGATCTGCAGGTGGCCAGGTATAGCACGTGTGTAGGAAGACAGATTGAGAATGGCTGCCATCAAGAAGTTTTGTAGGTTAAACTATTGAACTTAACAAAACAAAGAAGGAATTCTTCAGGCATCTAAGCAGAGAGTAGTCCCTGACACTGGGAGAGACTTGGCTGTTCTCCAATACACCACGGTAAATTTCAAAGAAAATGGAGCGATGTTTAGAAAGTTCTGAGGTTTAGAAAGTGAAGCCTGAGAAAAGTCTATGCAGCCAGAGAGTTACAGTCTTAAACATGAAATCACAGCCAGACTTGAGCACTTACTATACCTGCTTGTGTGAAACCAGAGCTCTTTGGTGATGGGATCAAGTTTGGTCAGGTGATAGGATAGGATAGGATGGAATGGAATGGAATGCTACTTTAAAAAACTTTGGCAATGGAATGGAATAGAATGCTACTCTAAAAAATTTGGCAAAAAAATAAATTAATAAATAAAAAGCTTTGGCAAAATGAAGCCAACCCAAACGGGCAGCCCAGGCATTGCAGGGTGGGGCAAGGGAGGGAAAGCTGGAGGAAATGTGAGCATATTATTACTCCCATGCTGTTGGGAGCAGCGAGTTAGTCAATAGTACTTAAAATTCTAGTTAAAAAATATCACTGTAACCTCTTAATATTTTTTGTAATATTTAAAATTTTTCTTTAATCTTAATTTTTAAAATTTTTTTAAAATTTATTTTTTACATTTATTTATTTTTGAGAGACAGAGACAGAGCATGAGCAGGGGAGGGGCAGAGAGAAAGGGAGACACAGAATCGGAAGCAGGCTCCAGGCTCCAAGCTGTCAGTACAGAGCCTGATGTGGGGCTTGAACCCATGAACCGTGAGATCATGACCTGGGCTGAAGTCAGACACTTAACCGACTGAGCCTCCCAGGTGCTATTAATCTTAGAGTAATTTTTAAGAAGTTAATCTCAGGGGTAAAGAAGCACTTGATGTACTATAGATCTCTTAAATTTCCTTCAGTTTCTTTCTCTTCTGTTAAGTTCAAGAAAATAATTAAATTTACAAATTAAATTACAATTTTTAATTTACATACAGTTATCTCATTTTGGTCTCTATCTCATGTTTCCTTTTCTCTCTTTTCTAACATCTGTATAAATATAAATAAAAATGTAAAGAAGATCACAAAATATTAACACTACTCATTTCTGATTGGTGAGATTCCCAGTGATTTGTTGACATATTTTTGTACTTTTCTATATGTCTTGCCTTTTAAAGTAATGAGTATGAATCATTATATAATATTAACTATTGTTCCAAAATGTTATACATGTTCTTTGCAGAAAATTTGAAACATACAGATAAGAAAGGGAAAAAGAAAAACCTGCCATCCAGATATATCTGGAGGTTGTGACCTGTTCTGTTGGTGGTTGCCAATGAACATTGCTTCTGGGTATTCATCCCTTTTTGTAGCCCCCTCCCACATTAACTCTGGGCTTGGTCATGTGTGATGGTTAATTTTATTTGTCAACTTGGCTAGGCTTTGTCAATTTTATTTGTCAATTTGTGGTGCCTAGTTGTTTGGTCAGTGTTGCTGTGACTTTGATTTTTTTTTTTTAGATGTGATTAATATTTAAATCAGACTAGACTTTGAGGAAGCAGATTACTCTTTATATTGTGGGTGAGCCGCATCTAATCAGTTGCAGGCCTTAAGAACAAAGACCAAGGTTTTCCAAGAAGGACTTCTCCACAAGATTGCAACATGAAACCCTACCTGAGTTTTCAGCCTGCTGCTTTGTGGAATTCAGACTCAAGACTGCAGCATCAACTCTTGTTTTAATTTCCAATCTGTCAGCCTGCCCTACAATTTCAGACTTGTCAGTGTGTGTGTGTGTGTGTGTGTGTGTGTGTGTGTGTGTGTATACTTCTCTCAGCCTTGAACTACCATGTGAAGAGATCTGGCTGCTTTGCTGGAGAGACAGAGAGATGAAGGTTCAGGCAACCCCTAACTGTTCCAGGCCTCCCAACTGGAGGAGCCAAACAGGTGACTGAAGCCCTCCTAGAGGTCAGTCTTAGTCATGCCACCAGGTGATTGCGGCTGCGTAAGTGACCTCAGGAGAGACCAGCAGAAAAACTATCCAGACTAGAATCATGAGCAAGTAAATCGTTATTGCTTTAAGTCATTGATTTTTGGGGTGGCCTGTTACTTACTAATGGATAACTTAATATAACTACAATTACTATTTTGGCACATGAAATTCTAGTCTTTTTATATAATTTGAACATTTTAAGAAAATTGGAATCATACTCTATAATTTTACATCATGCTTTTTTGGGGACATTAAGAGCAGTTTCTTTAACTCCAGCTTTAGCAGATGCATAGTTTTTTTTACTGTTTCCTATTATTGTACATTTTGACCATTTTTATTAATATTTAAATTTAATAAAAATACAACATTTTGCTCTTATAAACAACACTATGATAAATGTTCTTGTATATATTATCAGAATCACCCATCTAAGTGGCTCCTATGTTCCAGGCTTGTGGAAATTGTGTGAGATGATAATAAATGTTTATTATTTTAAGCCACTAAGTAATGGTATAATTTCTTATGCAGCAATTAGTACTAGCTAGTACAGGCCCAATTAGGACTTTTGGGTTTTTCACCTTTGAAATAGGAAAACCTACCACATATTTGGTTCCTTGTAACCCAACTGTTAATAGTGACTAACTCTACCTGTATTTATGGAGGGAGAATTTGGACAATTTACACCACACATTCACTTCTTGGGCCTTTTCCTTCACAATAGTGTCTTCATTGACCTCCCATACCCTGACAACTCATTAATATATATTTGAGCCCCAGCCCTAGTTTTTTCCCTGCACAGATATCAGGCTCATATCTCCAATTGCCCACTTCCAATCATCTCCTCCTGGATGTTCCTCATGGCATTTAAAATGAAGTTCATCATCTCCTGTTACAATCTCTTCCTCCTTTCTTATCTGCCTTGAATGAGAGGTGGAGATAGGTTGGATGTGGAATGAGCACATGACGGTGTATTAGTTATCTATTGCTGTGTAACAACTTATCCCAAAACTTAGTGGCTTACAACAGTAAATACTATCTTGCACAGCTTCTGAGACTCAGGAGTCTGGGAGTGGATTATCTGTGTGTTTCTAGCTCAGAGTCTCTCTTGAGGTTGCAGTCAAGATGTTGTCTGGGACTGTAGTAGTCCAAAGACTTGCTTGGGGCTGAAGGGGCTCTTTTGTCTCTTTCTCTCTTTCTCTTTCTTTCTTTCATATGATTTATTATCAAATTGGTTTCCATACAACACCCAGTGCTCATCCCAACAGGTACCCTCCTCAATGCCCACCACCCACTTTCCCCTCTCCCCCACCCCCCATCAACCCTCAGTTTGTTCACAGTATTTAAGAATCTCTTATGGTTTGATTCACTTCCTCTCTGTAACTTTTTCCCCCTTCTCCTCCCCCATGGTCTTCTGTTAAGTTTCTCAGGATCCACATATGAGTGAAAATATATGGTCTCGGTCTTTCTCTGCCTGACTTATTTCACGTAGCATGATACCCTCCAGTTCATTCATGTTGTTGCAAATGGCCAGATTTCATTCTTTCTTATTGCCAAGTAGTATTCCATTGTATACATAAACCACATCTTCTTTATCCACTCATCAGTTGATGGACATTTAGGCTCTTTCCGTAATTTGGCTATTGTTGAAAGTGCTGCTATAAACATTGGGGTACATGTCTGAAGGGCCTATTTCTAAGATATCTCACTCCCATGGTTGTTGGCTAGAGACTTCAGGTTTTTGGTACTTGTAGGAAGGAGACCTCCATTCCTCACCACCTGGATTTCACCAAAGAGCTGCTTTTTTTAAGAGTCTTCCCAGTATGGTAACCAGCTTCCCATGGAGCAAGTGATCCAGGAGCAAGGCAGAAACCACAAGGTCATTGATGACCTAGCCTTGAAAGTCACATGCTATCACTTCTCCCGTATTTTCCTGGCCATAACACACCAATCCTGAAACAAAGTGGTTGGGATCACATAAAGATGTAAATATGGGGGTGGAATGGGGGTCATTCAGAGCCATCGTGAAGATTGGCAATCACAGACACTATTCCTGTGCCAGTAGTTCTGGGATTGAGACAACTGGGGCTCCTGCAGGGCTTGGAGATCATTTGTGCCAGGATTAAGTGTTTAAGGCCAGACCACTTAATTGAGATAGGATAAAATCAGAAGGGGAGCCAAGATGAGACCCAGAGTGGCATACGGGGCAAAGTCAGTAACTTTGTATATTTAACCTACGTGTGTGTATGAGAGTTCCTTGTGGAAGGGCACAAATTGAAAAAGACCTTAAGAGGGGGGTGTGTGATCTTGGCCATCACTACTGCAAGGACTAGCTTCTCTCTCACCTCTTGCTTCAGTCTTACCCAGCTAAATATTTGCAGTTCATAACTATGTCCTGCCTCTGTCTGGACTCTTCCTATGGTTTTCCTGCATGGGAGCACAGTCTTAATTTGTGATGGCCTAGATGCACACCTCAAGGCAAGGAATTTTAGTGCAAGTAGATCATTTAGATGACACTGTGAGATGCTGGTAAGAGATGAGCGAAGTGCATTGGTAAGACATAGGGATATAAAGGCAGTCAAGCAAGTTATCTCTATGGGAAACTGGCTTAGTCCCCCTGGAGAACTCTGGGAAATAGTGTAGAACAGTGAGGAACTGGCCTTTGAGTTATCCTACCTGAGTGGCAAGATTCCACCAACTTCCAGCTGTCATTGGCTGAGGCTGCTCTCAGGAGTTAATTCTCAGGCACTCTGGCCTGCCACTTGAGCAGGCAGAGTTTATACCACAGCTGGAGGAAGCCCTTGGCCTCAGAGTTGCAGTTGCTGGCATTTGGCAGTAGGAACTTGGAGGCTGGGCCTGCAGGGACATGTTAGGGAGATATGGGAGGGGAACTGATGGCACGTTCTGTGAGTACCTTTAGAGTTCAAGTCAGGTATCACCTACTTTGGGAAGCACTCCATGGCCCCTCATTTGTTTCTCCCCTCGTGAGTTGAGTGTCTCTCAGCTTTGCTCCCACCTACCCACACGTCACTGTATTTAACTGTCTGCATCTCTCCTGCTAAACTCTGAGCCCACTGGAGACATGGACCCGGACTTCCATCACTGTAGCTCTGTGGTACCTAGAAGAAGAAATGACCCAGAGAGAATCTGGCACATGGTAGGTGCTCAAGAAGTCTTGAATGAATGAATGAATGAATAAGGAATTCTCTTCATCATGTGGAATAGCATTGGTTATGTTCTGTGTATTTCTGTGTCTAAAAGCTTTAACGTAAATTATCACTATTTCTACTGTAGTGGGCTTATTTAATGGGAATAATTTCCTACGGAGGGGTCTTTCAGGTACAAGAAAACACAAAGATGTTTATGGTGTACCAGGTGGCGCACTAGGGCCTGGCTGATTCACTGCTCAGCACCCCCCAGATTCCTGGGGAAAAGCTGGGGAAAGGGCATGAGTGGCTGTCATGCAGCAGTTTTCTGCCTAGAAAACCCTTCCGTGGGGTGAGGTTGAGGGAGGAGGAATGGCAGGGTTTCTGCACAGACCGAGAGTGCCCCAGAGATCCCATCTACTCTCATTTTAGGTAGTCATGATTTACTCATTGTCACAGTCACTTAGCACTCTGGGAAGGATGCATTGTCTCTGAGTAGAGCACAGTGGTGATGATTTGGCTGTTATTATGGATAATAATTGTGTTTGCTGTCTGTGCTGCCTAGGCTTATTCGGGAGCATAGTTACCACTGCTATCATTTTAAATATTTTAATTAATGATACTATGCTGTGCTCCTTGCCTTGAGGCTCCTTAAGCAAAATGAGCAATTAAAAAAACCACAAAAAGCCAATGAATGAAAATAAAAGAAAGGGCATTTAAAAAATCATTCTGTTCCTATGATGTTTCGGGCTTGAAAAATGTATTCCGCTGTCTGCTGCAGGCAAGAGAAAATTCTCACTACTCCCGCCTGTTATCTTTTGCTCCCATAGTCATCCATCTCCCGTAGCTGCTGAGTGACATGGAATATACATAAAGCATCATCAAAAAGAACAGGAGAAGAGGAAAAGGGAAAAACAGCACCCAGAAAACTTGGAGCCTCATGCTTTTAAAAGTACGTCATTATCCTCGATCATCACCGTCAATCATTGTTATCAATTATTTTATACTTTGCCAGCCTTGTGGATATCACCGGGGAGATGGCGAAGAGCTAGTATCTCTATCTCTGAGCTCTTTCAGTCCAATTTTAGTGTCTGTCCCGCTGGAGTGAGCACTATGGGTGTCTTTCAGGGTAGTGACTGGAAATGGTTCTGGCTGAGCAACTGAAAGCCTTGGGATGTTCTGTGAGGCTGATGGGTGAATGCAGGAGAGAGGCTAGCAGGGTAGGGCAATCTGAAATGTTAATGCGCTGTTTTCATGATGTAGGAGATATGAAGGAGTCTAAGAGGTGAAATTTCCCTCTGCATCTCATCACCACCTGAGCTCTCTGGCCAGGTCAGGATTCCAAACTCAGGACTCTTGCTTGGCCTGCTGAACTTTGACTTCCAGAGTGTTGTTAAAAGGTTTGAATTAGTAGCCAATACTTAGAAATGGAGGCATAAAACTTGAAAATTTATTTAGCCTCCAGTCTCATCTGCCAACCCCAACCATGTGGCATTACTGAGTGGGTGCCCTTTCTTTGGTGTGCCGGAACTGGCTTCTGCCAGCCTGTGAGAGAGAGCATGTGCACATCTTCAACTCTGTGTTCAGTGACTTCACATTGGTTGCTCGATATCATTAAGATCAGCCATAGTGGGAATACTTATACCATGAATACTAGCAAATGCTACAAATTAGGTTTTTTTTTTTTCTTTCAGAGAGCCCATTGTTAAACATTTACCAGCATACCTATAGCTCCCCATCGTCAGCTTACAATGAGGCTGTATTGCCTGCCTTGTCCCCTGGGTTTAGATCCCAAATTTAAGATCTTACTTCTTTGTGTACCATGGTCCTGTGAAGAAACTTTCTACCCCAGGCCTTTGTTTGGAAGGATAGGCTCATCAAAACAAGGGTCTGAAGGGGAGAAGATGATGGTCAGCTTCAAGCTGGAGGAGGCAGTGACCTGATCTGTGAGGGTGAAAGACTTCTGTGAGCCTGGAAAGGGAAGAGTTCATTCTGGGAAGGGGTGGACAAATTCCTTGTGTGGCAGACACCCAGCCCCTATTTACACAGTATCCCATTTATATGCAGCCTGGGAGTGGCAGGAAAGTTAGTCAAGGATGCGGGGAAATCACAGGCTATGAAACAGACCACTTGTGCTCTGGGGCTGGGGGCATGGGAGAGGTATCCACTAGCAGGACTGACTTCATGGGCATGTGGCCTGTGCAGTTACACTTGGTTTAATGCTCTGCTCTCACTGTCTTGAAATTCATAATAATTATTGAACCACAGGATCTGCATTTTTATTTTGCACTGACTGGGCTCTACAAATTAGGTATCTGGTTCTGTGTACTGTGAATGGACAGGTAACCCAATTGCTCTGGGATGCCTAACCTTTCACAGGGCTTCCTGTGCAACTCCAAGAAGCTAGAGAGAGGTCCTTCAGAATTTCCCATCAACCCCTGTGCATGGGGCTTAATCAGATTTATGTGGTCAGAAACACTAAGAGACATGTTTTTTTGGGTGGGTGCCGAGCTGTCTTACTGTACTAGGTTGAAATTTGTTTTGCCTTGGATGAACTGGAAGTACAGTGCCAAACTTAGGTAAATGGGACAAGGTCTCTTCCCAAAGGAAGAGCCTAGTGGGAGACATGCAGAGTGACCCACAACTCTGACCCCACGTAGCACATTAGGATTGAAATCTGTCAAATGGGCCATGGGGGTGCAGAAACAGGAGCAGTTGGTTCTGCATAATTAGGATCAGGGGAATTTGTGGCAAGGCCCTGAAGGTGAGTAGGAACTCTCTGGGAGGAGAGGGTGGGAAGATGTAAGCCAGATGCTTCACTAGAACCCTCTTGCTTAGGGGTATTTTTTTAAATGTTTATTTAGAGAGATAGAGAGAGAGCGAGCATGAGCATGCACACCCGCATGAGTGGGGAAGGGGCAGAGAGAGGGAGAGAGAGAATCCCAAGCAGGCTCCATGATGTCAGTGCAGAACCTTGAGATCATTACCTGAGCCGAAATCAAGAGTCAGATGCTTTACCAACTGAGCCACCCAGGTGCCACGGGTCTGCTGTGTTTTGATGGTGCTGCAACTATTAGCAATAGTGAGGTCCACCACCTCTCCTGTCTTGTGCTGTGGCTGTGATGCGGTCACAAAACCAGTCTGGAGGCTGGTTCAAATGACTACTTTGTAAGGAGATCTTTCTTCATTATGTGGTGGGAGAACGTTTAGAAATCATAGCAGATGTGCTCTCCCTAGTCCATTCCTTACCTGGTGACCCTTCCTCTATCTGGGTAGCATCCTTGTGTCAGAGAAGGGAGGTAACAGCAGAAGCCTTGGCCAGATTTTGGCTGTAAAAAACAGACTCTAAGGGGCATTGGGAAATAGTGAAGTCAGAGGGAGTCACAGGTTTTCTGAACCCTCAGAGTGGATAGGGTTTCTTATAGGGGGAAAGGGGAGTCAGAAGGGAGGGAGGAGTGAAGGGATGGTAAGGGTCCCAAGAACATGGGACTCTGTGGCCACCCTTCTTCAACTTATCCTGGGAAGAGGAAGGAAAGGCAGTTAGTTAAAGGCAGGGATCCTCAGTCCTATTAAAACTTAATGACTCCTTTATGGAGCAAATATTTTGTTAAGTCCTATTTACTGTCTTGAAGTAAATGAAATTCATGGGTAATTTAACTCCCATCATTATGACAACCAATTAATACATCCACAGATTTCCAAAATATCCTATGGGGAATGGGATAGTCCTGGCTGAGAACCACTGGTCTAGGGATTCTGTTTCCTGGATAGGAACCAGGGAAAAGCAAGACCCTCAGACCAGCTGTGGGGTGTGTTGGGAAGGGCCAAGGGCAGCCACAGAAAGTATCCTTTCACTAGGGTCCTCAGAGCTGCAAGAGGCAAAGGTGGGATGAGATGGAGCCACACAGTGTCCTGGGCATCACTGTGGGTTTGGCAGAGAGGTGCTAGGAGATAGAAGAGAGAGGCCAGCTCCAGAGGAGACTTGTGTCAGGAGTGAAGAATGGCCCAGCAATGACCTGCATGGCCTGATCATCTGTACCTGAAGGGGTGCAGATGTCTCCAGAGATCCCAGCATAGGTATACAGCTGCACTCCAGCCCCATCCTGCTTAAAGCTCATTGATAGAAATAGAGTCATAATTTTCCACACATGGAGTTTGTGGATGGACATTCTTATTTGCTACAGTTCTGTTCTGAAGAATCCCTCACTTGACTGGGTTCAGCTTCCTCCCACCTTCCCTACTGTGGAGGGGTAACCATAGCTTATGATCCGTTCCCTTAGCACAAATCTCTGCTGCTTAAAATCCAACTATGCCTGTCTCTTGGAAGATGAAGAATCTGGTGAAGGATAAAGATAGTTCTGTGGGTTTTATGACACATAAAAAAGCAAAAAGAGATCTCAAGTGTAGATGCTTAGAAGGTAAAAACTGCCCCTTTGGGGGACCATAGTCACATAATCTTGCTTTCTGTCTTTGCTAGAAAACGAGGCTGGTGGTGGTGAATGTATTTGCTCCAATGACAATAGAATGGGATTTAGAGGGAGAGAACCCTTGATTTGAATCTTGGTTTAGTTTTGCAGGCCATTCACTTAACTTCTTTGGAACTCAGTTCCTTTATCTATAAGAATGGTTGTGAAAATCAGATGTGGCAACAGAGAGAGAGCTTCTTGTCATCTGTAAGGTCATGGTTGTTAATTATTGCCATGAAAATTGCATCAAGAACAGCTAAGTTTTGGCATCCAGTGACCAGACAGGGGTAAGTAGATTTCTTCTGGTCTCAATGGTTTCTGCTTCAGAGAATTAGTACTTAAGAGTTCTTTGATTGGCACTTGAAGCTGGAAAAATTTCTTTGAAATCAATTTAATCACTGTGAGATAGATTTCATTATACAGTTGAGTGAAATGTAAACTACTATTTGCATATAGACTGTATCTGTAGGTGTTTAATTCTGATCATTCATTCCTTCTCATTGGCTCCTGGTTAGTTTTCAAGTTGGCTGTGTATTTGTTACAGGCTTATTTGAAACCCATTCATCCTTCTAGCCAGCCATCCATCCAACCAATAAAAGCACACTTGTTGAAGTATTTAATTTGTCCAAGTACCTAGGAGAGGTCCTGTGGGGATGCAGCCATGAATCTGATAAAACACTATTGTGGAGGCTGAGTATCAACTTCCTGGGCTCTTGACTATTTGCTTTACCTATTTTTGAGGGCACTTCTCACATCTTCACTGAAGATTGTATACTTTATTTAGTTCAATTGTTTTATTTGTAATCTGTTTTGTTTGTTTGTTTGTTTGTTTGTTGAGGGATGGAAAGATCATGTGTTTGGGCTGAAAAGGACCAGATTATAATAGAGTGATATCAAGAAGACCAGGTCTTCAAAAGTAGCTGATCCTGTCAAGGTATATCCTGTTTCTCTATTTTATAGATTTACCAAAGTAAAGTTAAGAATTAAGAAAAACTGAAGTGTTAGAACAATATATACTCTAGGGGTGGAGAAGGCCTTCTAAAATAGGCCAGGAAACCCATAATCCAAAGAAGGAAACATTAACATATTTGATGAGATAAATATTTAAAACTTTCATATGTCAAATGGTACCATAAACAAAACCTAGAGACAAAACACTAGGGGAAAAATACCCACAACTCATATGATAGACACAAGGTTAGTATCTCAGAAGCTGTACAGAATGCTAAGAAAAGGGCGTATAGCCATTAAAAGGAAGTACAGGGCCACCTGGGTGGCTCAGGTGGTTAAGTCTCCGACTCTTGGTTTCAGCTCAGGTCATGATCTCATGGTACATGGGTTCAAGCCCCACATTGGGCTCCATGCTGATAGTGTTGAGCCTGCTTGGGATTCTCTCTCCCCCTCTCTCTGCCCCTCCTCTGCTCATGCTCACTCTCAAAAATAAACTTAAAAAAAAAAAAAAAAGGAAGTGCAAAGGCAGGTTATACCTGAGGAGGCAAACATGGTGAGTAAACATTTGAAAAGATGGACAGCCTCACTGGAAATCAGGCAAATGCAAACTGAAGGAATGATACACCATCTTTACTCAATTGATCAGCAAAACAAAATAATTGAGAAGAATTGCCAAAGCTTGGGGTGGTGTGGGGAAATGGGTTCTTTCATCGTTTGTAGGAATGTGAATAGTGATAACATTTTTGGAAAGTAATTTCAACCCAGTTTAAAAATTAAAAAGTACATATCCTTTGATCAAATAATCACACTATTTCAGAGAAATAAAAGTGCTAGTACATAGGGAGAAATACACAAAAGTAGCTATTGCAGCAGTGATTGTATAAAATAGGAACAGGGAGTTGGGTAATGTGGATGTTCATTGGTTCAGAGATGATTGAATAACTTACAATACATCTACGCTATGGACTATTATAACACTGCTAAAAAGCATGGCTTGGACTTATATTTTCTGCTGGAAAGGATCCGCCTTATAGGGAAAAATTAGGTCAAACAGTAAATCTGCATATATTGTTAAGCCCTAACAAGGAATTATGGAAACAAATACCTCAAACTACTGACATTGATTACTTCAAGGGGGTGAATTTGAGGGCAAGAGAAGACTAAGAATTGACATTCTTGTATGTTGCTGTTTTGTTTGGATTGTTATACCATTTTTCCATTGAGGTAGAAGTGAAGTAAAAAAAAGAAAGGAAGAGAGATGGGAGGGGGGGCAGGGAGAAAGATAAAGAGAGGGTGAGAAAACAGGCTAGAGCATTAACATTTTAGACTTTAGCCTCATGGGGGAGAAAACAATGATTTCCTCAACCACAGGCAAAAGTGGTCATAAGTCAAAGACAGTAAGAGCAAAGAGAAATGCTGTTCTGTAGAGTCTGGCTCTTTAACCTGACGTCGTTATTCTTATAAATTAGAGATGCGGGCTGTTTTGGGGTTAATGCTGAGTATTTTAGTAGTGAGGCTCTTTTAGACTCTCTTTTACAATGAAGAATTTGTGCCCTGATTTTTTTTGTTGTTGTTAGCATCTTAGCAGGTTTATTTGTTGAAGGCTTATTTGAGATCCTGGTTGTTTAAATAGAAAATAAAATAAGAAAAGATAAATAAGCCCGAGAATAGGGGGGAAATATTATTTGTGTCCCTCAGTAGTTTGAAGGTTGCTGTAGTTCATCTTCAGATACCGAGCGTCATGAAAGATTTATTTAACCACATTTCTCTTAAGGTCGAAGGAGTTGAGATCACTCTTTCATCCAGGCTTCCTTTCTTCACCCAGGTCCTCTTATTTATTTCTCTCTTTTCCTGAGCCAAAATTTGAGCTGCTGTGAGAGATTCTTAGTCAGTTCCCAATATTTGAAACCACTTTCAACAATGCCATCCATCTCCTCCCCCTGCAAGTGGCATTATCTCCACATCCTTGGAGATGAGCTGCCTCCTCCCTCTTTTATCACTCTGAGCTGTACACGTTTGGTTACAAATGCCCCGATAATGTTCTCGTTGGTCTCTCACAAGTGAAATAACAGATAACCATTCTCCCGGTGATGGCGATGCTGTCATCCTGCACCCAGATAACCAGGAAAGGAGGTATCCACTCCCATTGCGTGCTGTGATTAAGATCTCGCTGGTGAAGATACAAGTGAGATTGCCTTTATAAAATAATATCTGTGCTCAGATTATTTTACTCAGCTCAGATAGCAGCTAACATCATTTCTTGGGGCCCTCCCCCTGTAATAATCTGCATTGGCTTTCAAACATGTGTGCTACCACCTGCCCTACTGGTGAGATAAGAACAAAAGTATTAGACGGCATATTAAATTGTGCTGCATTTTTCATATTACTCATACAAATGAGATACCAGCTGCAGGATAGTAGGTTTCATTGTTGGCAGAACTCCCAATCATCGTGCTGTGGAAACAAGGGTAGCCTTCCATCTCAGCAGTGTGGGCTGTGGTCCGTGGGTGCTGTCCTCCCCAGGTCCACCTTCCTGGATTGCTTGATGTGAATTAACAGGGGACAAATCCTTTCATCCTAAACCACATTTAGGCTTAATGTACCGTTACCTAAAGGAGGTAATCCATAGGGTGTTTCCCAAATTTCAGTTATCAAGTCCCACTTTTTAATGATATTTGTTGTTCTGCAGTATCACCAATAATGTTATTTAATACTTTCCTTTAAATTATTATAATTTTAACTACTAAGCTTAATAATAAGAGTGATGAAATCACAAGTTCGTTATGCTTTTATTTTATCTACCTGATAGTAAGATAAACATGTAAACCATTAATGTTTTCTGTGCACCATCTAAACTAGTTCTGAGTGATACCCATGGATGTTCAAGAAACATCCCGTTTGAAAAACACCGCTAAAATAGTTCTCACTAAAGTGTATACTGCTAGCACAGATAATTTGTTGGTAGCTGCTTTTAGTGAATGATCTCAGAGCTGGAAAGGTAGGGAGGAAAAGCTACAGATACAAGAAGGATTCAGAAAGGAAACGTTGGAAGGAAGTGAATAGCAGAACTGTCTAAGGTGCCATCTCATCCTGGTCAGACTTAGGTAAGTAAGATGGAGCCAGGGACACCTTGACCATCACCTCTCTGGGTTCCTGGTTCTCTCTCTGAGCCATAACACGTTTTCAGGAACCAGGACTCTGGGACGAGGCTTTTTCTGCCTCTTGCCTCTTCTTTGCCTCACACCATGGAAGCCCTCAGAGAGAACCAACCTTCCTGGGAGATGTCCCAGGTGACAGCATGCACAGGATTGTGCTCAACCCACTAGTGTCTGGACTGTGGTCAGAAGCACTGCTCAACCAGCGTCATGAAGAGGAGGCAAGGATGATACAGACGGCAGGTGCCAAGTGTTCGGGAGTGTTGCCAAGTGTTCTGTTAAGATTATTGTATTTATCCAAGACAAATGGCTCCATTATAAAGCCACATTGTATATATGTATATATGTTTTTTATATGTTGTTTTAAAAGCAAAAACAAAAAATATGAGAGATTACGGCTGGAAAGCATTAATTTAGAGGTAGCAAAGGCCCCAGACAGCTGTCAGAGGAATTTCTGCTCCAAGCTTTGCTAAGTACCTATAATCCTTGGCTCTGAGAGCGCTGCTATAGTAACCCCTTCCATGACGGTCTTCAGCTCTACACTTCCCAGTTATTACCCTGAAAAAAGGACTGCCAGACCTCATGGTAATGATCTAACCTGCTCTGGCCATTTTGTTAGAGTTCTACCATCTTACGACCAGGTGACGACCTCTGGCTGACTGTCCCAAACACGGCCCTAAATGTCATGGTAAGGCTACTTTAGACATGTGGTCTTTTCTCTTTGCAGAAAGGCTGCGTGGAATGGAGCTGTATAGAACATACAGGTGGTTGATAGGCAGATGAGCAGGAAAGAGTTAATCTCCAAACCAACCAGGGTTTAGTTGTGGGCCTGCCAAGCATCCAGGCTGAGTTCGTGAAGCACCACGAGGGAGCGGTTAATCAGACATCAGTTTCCAGGTGTGTGCATGACCTGACTGATGACCAAAGATTGAACTAAATGTCTGGGAACAGTTCATGTGTACAAGCATGAGGCTCAGACAAGACAACAATCAATCCCTGCTTCATCCTTTAATCTATATTCATTGCTAACAACAATCTAGCAAAATTCAGAGGGGGCTTTTTTTTTGGTACTCTGGTTAAATAAAGCAGGACGGCATCTGTAGTGTTTTGTAAATAGCATTTTGCGCAGTCGTTCAACGCTGATTAGCCCATGTTTGCCCTTCACTTTCCCAAATTAACTTTTGCCATCATCTTGCATAGCCGTTGAAGTTGGTTCCCCCAGGCTGCTGATTGCTGCTTTTCCCTAAAACTCATTTGATTGTACCTGTGCCCACTGGCCATCTCCCTGAACAGTTTTGCCTTTGGTTCTTTCAGTGCCTACTTATCCCTAGCTTCCCTCTCCATCTTTGTTAATAGGAAAAGGAAAAAGAAGTATATCAAGAATTTACACTTTTAGTAAAATAGAATATTCTTCTAATTTCTTAAACTCAAATTGTTCCTTATTGCCTCATTAAAGAAAGAGAAAAAAGAAGGAAAGAAGGAAGTATATAAAGGAGTGAGTGAGGATAGAGGAACACTTAACTAGGATTGAATCTTTTCCCAATTAAAAAAATTGAACATTTACATATGATGTAGATTATTACAAAGGTAATAGAACCACATTACAAAAATGTTGGCATGAAGGAAAATAAGAAAACTCCATAATACTAGTAACA